AGGACAGCAGACCTGTTGTCGGCGAACAAGACTGGGGGAGAGCGAGGCCGCTCACCAAGGTCGGTGAGAAGGAAAGACAGCCAGCGAAGCTCCTGAGTGGCCATGGCCGTAGCGTACACCTCGGCCTCACAGCTGGAACCGGCGACAGATGACGCCCGAGTCGACCGCCACGAAACAGCACCTGCCCTGAGGCTAAAGGAGTACCCCTGTGTAGACCGACGCGTCTCCGCGTCGTCGGCCCACGACGAGTCCGAGTAACCTGTAAGTGTAACTGGCTGCTTCCCTCCAAGGACAAGTCCCATGCCCGATGTACTCGCCACATACTTCGCCACCCTCTTAGCCGCGTACCAGTGGGAAGGTCGGTGTTTCCCAGGTGCAACAAAGCGCGCAAGGACGCTAAGAGGGTAAGCTAGGTCTGGGCGAGTCCAGGTCATCAGGTACATGAGACAACCCACCAGCTCAGGATATGGACCGCTGGACTCAAATGGCTCGTCCGAAGGTGGAGCCGTGAGCCCATAATCCACACTGATGCTGCTGGAGGTGCTCACACTGGGGGTGCGGACTCTGGGGGTGCTGCGAGTCTTACAGGTGCAGGGGGTGCTGGAGGTGCTGCTGCTGGAGGTTCTGCGGGTGGAGGTTCTGGTGGTGCTGGTGCTGGTGGTGCTGGTGCACGTCGGCAGGAGACTCTCTCGCTGGAGCGGCTTCGCGAGTGGGCTGTCCGTTGGGGCAGTCTTGGTGGTGGCGCTGGATGTGCTAGAGCTGCAAGTTCTAGAGGTACTGGCCTTGGAGGTGCTAGTGCTGGTGTTCCAGGAGTTGGCCGTGCTGGGAGTATTGGTGCTGGTGGCACAGGTACTATTGGAGGTACTGGAGGTGCTGCTGCTGTGGGCACTGCTGTGGGTAGTCCTGGCTCACGTCGCCAGGAGTCTCTCCCGCCTGAGCGGCTTCTCGAGTGGGTTGTTCGTTGGGGCAATCCTAGTGGTGGCGCTGTACGTGCTGGAGCTGCAGGTTCTGGAGGTGCTGGACCTGGAGGTGCTAGTGCTGGTGTTCCTGGAGTTTACCGTGCTGGAGGTACTGGTATTGGAGGCACAGGTGCTACTGGAGGTAATGGAGGTGCTGGCCCTGTAGGTGCTAGTGCTATTGTTCCTGGAGTTGGAGGTACTGGCGGTGCTGACACTGGGGGTGCTACTGGAGGTACTGGAGTTGGTGGTGCTCGTCAGCAGGAGTCGCTCTCTCTGCAGCAACTTCGCGAGTGGGCTGTCCGTTGGGGCAGTCCTGGTGGTGGAGCTGGTGGTGCTGGTTTTAGGGGTGCTGTTCCTACTGGGGCTCGTGGTTCTGGGGGTGTGACTACTCAACCACAGCTGTCTGCGCTACGGCACCTTCTCAGTCTCCCGCCTACTGCTACTCAGTTCCCGGTTGCTGGTACTACTCCTCCGTTACTGTTCCCACCAACTGTCCAGTCTCAGCCACAGCTACTGGCTGGCTCCCCACTGCCTGCTCCTGCTCCTCACGCTGCGGTGACAGAGTCCTTCACTAAGCATAGAGAGCCTGCGTCGCGTCCTGTCACGCCTGTCCGTTCTCGCCGTGTTGTGCGTCCTCGTCCTCCAGCTGTCCCTGGCACATACATCATGGCACTTCGTCCTTCCTCTTTTCCACAGCGTGTTGTCCTGCCGTCTCCTCCTACATCTTCTCTTCCTCACGTTCCTGACCCTGATTCAGACCTTGTCCGTACTGCCAGTCTGACTGTCACTCGTCTCCTTGCCACGGTTGTGACGGACCCTTCCTTTGAGTCTGCTACTGCGTCTGCCATAATTGCTGAGCTTGTTGACTGTGCTGCTTTGTGCCGTTTTGCTGCTTTGTGCCGTTTTGAGTACGTAGCGAGTCTTGTGACTCTTCCTGGCCTCCGTCCGTCGGGGGTGAGCTTGCCCTTGGCTGTGACATCCTTGAGAACAGGCAATTTAAGCTGGAGTGCCTAGCGGCCGCTGCACCTCATCTAGCGTCCATGCTACTTTGCCCTGAGGGGGACCCGGATGCACTGGACATCCCGACCCGCGCACTTACGCAGAGGCGATTACGGGTCCATACTCCTCTCAGTGGCAGATAGCCACGGATGCATACATGGCTTTCCAGAAGTCCACAGGCACCTACGTCGACGAGTTTCCCCCACCTGGGGCGAACATAGTCGATAGCCAGTGGATTTTCAGGGTGAAGCGACCGCTGGGTTCTCCGCCTGCCTTCAAGGCGCGTTGCGTTGCACGAGGCTTCAGTCAGGATGAGGGGGTCGACTTCTCCCAGACCTTCTCCCCCACCCCGAAGATGACCACTCTTCGGGTGCTACTGCACGTTGCAGCACAGCGCGACTACGAGCTGCACTCCCTCGACTTCTCGACAGCCTTTCTGCAGGGCAGCCTTCACGAGGCTATCTGGTTGCGCCACCCACGTGGCTCCACTGGGTCGTTTCCTGAGGATACCCAGTGGAGTCTTCGGCGCCCAGTCCATGGCCTACGATAGGTACCTCGCGAGTGGCACGACACACGGAGGACTACGCGTGCGGCCTTTGGCTTCGCTTACTCGACTGCTGACCCTTTGCTGTTTCTGCGCAGAGACACTTCTCTGCCGCCGTTCTACGTTCTTGTGTACGTTGACGACTTGGTTTTTGCTACTGCTAGGACTGAGGCCCTGGCCTTATTGAAGGCGGAGCTGCAGAAGAGACACCCTGCACTGACCTGGGTGAGCTGCGCAGCTATCTTGGCTTGTAGATCACTCGGGACAGAGCACGCCGCACCATCACCCTCACTCAGTCACACATGGTGCAGCAAGTCCTTCAGCACTTCAGATTCGCATGGTCCTCTCCTCAGCCCACTCCTCTGTCTACCGGCCACTCGCTCTCAGCTCCACCTTCGGACGAGTTCGTAGAGCCGATTGGTCCATATGCAGAGCTTGTGGGTTGCCTCATGTACCTGACGTGCCTGACCTCGCGTACCCTCTCAGCCTCCTGGCTCGCTACGTGGCTCCCGGTAGACACCGAAAGGTTCACTGGGAAGCTGCGAAGAGGGTATTGCGTTACTTGTGTAGTACATCGGGCATGGGGCTCGTGCTTGGAGGACGGGGTTCAGTTGTTCTCACCGGTCACTCAGACGCTTCTTGGGCTGACAACTAGACGACTCACCGGTCGACACAGGGATACAGTCTTAGCCTCGGCACTGAATCTGTCTCGCGGAGGTCTACTTGCTCTTCTTCTGTACTTAGTTCCAGCTATGAGGCCGAGATCTACGCTAGGGCTATGGCTGCATAGGAGCTCCGCTGGCTGACCTACCTGCTGACCGACTTGGGTGAGCACATGGTGCACAGTTCCTCCAGCGCTTCGGCTTCACGTGGTCCTTGCCACAGCCTAGGCCACTCGCTCTCAGCTCCACCTTCGGACGAGTCCGTAGAGCCGAGTGGTCCGTATCCAGAGGTTGTGGGTTGCCTCATGTACTTGATGACGTGCACATGACCTGACCTCGCGTACCCTCTCAGCCTTTTGGCTCGCTACGTGACTCCCGGTAGAAATCGAAAGGTGCACTGGGAGTAATGATGTGGACTAGGTCAAAGGGAGGGGTACAAGAAGAATGTCGAGAATATTAGTGTACCCCCTAGGACTAAACCCACTATAACCTAATGAAACATACGAACATATGGTTTGACAGCTGGTCCACTAACCTCGCAGTGGCCGACCATTGCATGCCGGTGTCTCCCAGTCGCAACAAAGCGAGCAAGTATGCTGAGAATGTCAGAACATATATTCCATATGTTTTGTATAAGTGCATAGAGACCTCCTGCTCTAGTTACCATGTTAAGAACTAAGGCAAGGATGAATGAGATTAGGTCAAGGTTGGGGTACAAGGCTAGAGTGTCGAGAAACTTTTTGTACCCCCTAAGGCTAGCCCCAATATAGCCTAGACAATGATATGCATATGTTTTGACATAGAAAACACCAAACAACTGCCCTATTTGATAATAATGAAATGCCATTCCTTTCTTGAATTAGCTGTGTTTGGAGTTGTGGGAGGAAGGGAAGGGAGGTTGAATCTGTGAGATTGACTTGCATACTGTAAAAGTATGGAATGCAAAACTGCAGCAAAAGTGTACTGGGAAAACCAGCAACTATCTTACAGAGAGAGAGTCTTGAACAACGCAGCATCCAAACTTGATGATCCTAGACCTTTGTCATATACAACCAGATCTGCCACAAAGCATAATACACAATTAGGGCGTGTTCCTACGGCCTCATATCAGAAAACCTCGTATCAAGAATGTACTTTTTGCCTGGTAAAACTAGCGAGAGGTTTTGGGTTTATGGGAATTTCCAGTGTGAGCCTGATACGAGGTTCTCTTGATACGAGGTGCAGGAACACGCTCTTAGCACCAATTGTAGGAAGATATACAGCGTACCAGTAGTACCCGAAACAATTTATTACAATAATGCGAATGATCTTGGCAAGTCGCCCAACAGAGCAACCGCCGCACGATGTTCTTAGGGCGTATTCCTACGGCCTCTTATCAAGCCACCTCCTATCAAGATTGTACCTTTTGCCTGCGAAAAGTAGCGAGAGGTTTTGGGTTTAGGGGATTTTTCAGGGTGAGCTTGATAGGAGCTCAGATTGATAGGAGGATAGGAATACGCCCTTACCGTACCTAAAGCCCGAACGTGCCCGATGATGCATCTAAACTAAACTATTACGAACATAAGAGTATAGGCTCTTCTGTTGCATCAAAACCTGCCTTCAGCAGTTGCATCACCCTAAATCTGGTGGTGAAAGCTTGACGAGCATGGCTGCACTTGGAAACAATGCGCGACGAGGGACGGGAGAATTCTCAAAAGTAAAATCCGGAAGCAGAACGTGAGCAGTGGCGAGGGAGAGAAATTGAACAAAGGAGGAAGGATATACTCTTATAGGGTAAACACACCAACTGTTATCCATCTGGTGACTGTTTGTGCGGAAGTTGCCCGGCGCCCGCGGTCACTTCAGTGTGCTAGGTTCCACGCGTGTGATGTGAGGGAGGGAGGGAGGGATCACGGGAGTGAGGGATGCACTGCATTTCAGAGTCTGTGCGTTATGAGGGGGGAATGTGTCTTCACTGTTGACCGCAAACATTCCCTGCGGTGGTTTTGGCTCACCTTTTCCAAACCCTATGTTGACCGCAAGCATTTGTCAACGCAACATCCCCTACGCTGCAACTCACATCTGTCGGCTCTTCTCTCGCACGCGGACTCCCCCCTCTCACCTGCAAACTCCCCCCTCTCGCCCGCAGACTCCCCCCTCTGGCCCGCGGACTCCCCCCTCTGGCCCGCGGACTCCCCCGTCTCGCCCACGGACTCCCCCCTCTCGCCCGCGGACTTTCCCCTCTTGCCCAGGGATGGGGGGAGAAGGAAGGAGAGAGGTGGGGAGGGAAAAAAGGGGAGAGGCAGGGAAAGAAAGGAGAGAGAGGGGGAGGGGGAACGGGGGGAAGGGCAAGGGGGAAGTGGAAAGAAGGGCAAGGCAGAAGCGGATGGAATTTGAGGGGGGAAGGAAAATGGGGAAAAGAAGGGAAACGGAGCTAAGCTAAAAGAAGGGCACAGGGGAAAACGAAGAAAGGACAAGGGGTAAAACGGAGGGACGAATGGAATTAGGGGAAGGAGAGGGTATGGAGAGGGGCAATTTGAGGACGGGAGAGGGGTTAAGGGGGTAAAGGGAGGGAGTGGTGGAGATTTGAGCGGCGGCAATGGAGGGCATGGCGGACAGCAGAGCGGGCCTGGCGGACAGCAGGGCGGGCCTGGTGGGGAGCAGGTGGCTTCTGGGGTCGCTACTATCCAGCATATGGGAGAAAGTACGTTCACTAAGATCAAGGTGACTAAAGGGTCAACTCAAGAGCGGACCTGGTGGGGAGCAGGGGGTTTCTGGGGTCGCTACTATCCAGAATGTGGGAAACAGTACCTTCACTACAATCACTGTGAAAGGTGGCAAGGGTGGCAATGGGGGAAAGGGGGGAAAGGGTGGCAAGGGAGGAAAGGAGTGAAATCGCTGGTAGTGCTCCTTACAGAGTTTCTGTTCCGAGATGCTTGCCCTGTGCCGGCAGGAATTATTGTAAAGACTAGGAAGTCCTGAACTCGCATGTTGTAAAAGTTCTTTGCCTATAGCATCATTGACCATAAAGGTCTTGCAACTTCATTCTGGTTCTAGGAGTTATACTTATGAGGCTACCATCTTGTGAGATTGCACATAACAGGAGAACCTGGATGGATCGTGCGAAACTAAATGAGGTTAGGTGTATTATAGGCTGGTGTTCTAGGAAGGGTCGTAGTGAGAGGAACGGGACGGGACTTGGGACGGGAGAGGGGTACACAGGAGACAGATGGGAGGGGTGAATGAAGTGAATGGAGTGAGTGTATGAAGGGTGAGATGTGAGGGACGGGTCACGGGAGAGGGATGCACTGCGTTTTACTACGGTCCGTGTACAGGGTGTAGTGGCGAGAGATAGGTTTTCTTAGCCAGGTTACCATGCTCTTAGCGAAGTTCAGCAATACTTGAACCAAACCCTACCGTTCTATGCTGAGGCTTGTGTCGACCGCAAAGAACTGTTGCCCGCAAACTTCTTTTGACCACAACCATCATCTACCCTATCAAAACCGCAGCAACCACGGTAACCCGCAACCACACACAACCGCAATTTCGATACTCGCAACCACACATTACCGCAACCATGGTACCCGCAAAACACACAACCGCAACCACGCTTGTGTTCTCAACGCGGAACTTCCGAAAATCGAACCTTACCGCACTGAAAAGCTGTGTAGCTTCTGGAAACGTTTAGAGCCTTTTCTTACCGTGCGAAATCGAACCATCGTTGACCGCAAAACATCGTGTCAAGCGCAAAACGTCTGTTGACCGCAAAACATCGTCTCAACCCCAAAACATCTTGTCAACCACAATCTGTTGACCCCAAAACATCGTGTCCAACCACAAAACATCTGTTGCCCCCAAAACATCGTGTCAACCACAACCATCTTTCCCCTACCCAATGTCACACCACTCACAACCCAAGCAGCTGACTGCTAGTTACCAGATCCGCTTGGGTTTGGTGTTCCGTGTTTAGGGGAAAACGGAGAGACGATGAGATTACGGAAGGCGAGGGAGGGGAGAGGAGACTAGGAAAGGGGAGGGATGGGAGCTGGAAGGGAGACGGGAGTAGCCAGATCTGCGCGGGTCTGGTGTTCCGCGTTTAGGGTAAAACGGGGGGATGATGGAATTAGGGAAGGCGAGGGAGGGGAGAGGGGTAAAGAAAGGGACAGGACGGGAGAGGAAACAGGGGAAGGAGCGTGTAGAAAGGGGGTACCGGCGCGTAGGGGATGGGAAAAGGAGCGCGTAGGAAGAGGGGACTCTTCTCGCTTAATGAAGGGGGAAGAGCGCGTAGGAAGGGTGGTAGCGTGTGTACGGAAGGGGAAAGGAACGCATGGGAAGGGGTTGTAGTGGTGCGTAGGGAAGGGACGATGTCGCGAGTTGGGATTGTGAAAAGCAGCGCGCACGGAATGGGGGAGCAGCGCGAGGGGGAAGTGGGGAAGCAGCGTGTGGGGAAGGAGGGGAAATGGGAGAGGCGGAGAGGGGAAGGAAGGAGAGAGGAAGTTAAAGAGCGACGGGAGTGACTGAGCGATGGGAGAGCGGGAGTGACGGCAATAGCAATTATGAAGGCAAAAGTTATTCTAAGGTACTACTCACGGTAGCGAAGACACTAGTGACGTCGCACGGAAGAAGTGACAGTCGCGCGGAAGTAGTGACAGTCGCGCGGAAGTAGTGACAGTCGCACGGAAGTAGTGACAGTCGCGCGGAAGTAGTGACAGTCGCACGGAAGTAGTGACAGTCGCACGGAAGTAGTGACAGTCGCAAACGTACAGTAATCAGAAGAAACGGATCCTGGTGTGAGCGAGAGACGAGCTTAACACATAACCCCAAACCCTGATGCTTTTTTCCCGACACTCCCAGTGTTTTTCCTTCCGGTACATCCGCACATGCAGATATATATTTTTCTTTACCCTACAGTTCGTATTTCAGGTATTTTTTGCATGTACTTATCTTTTCGATTGCTAAGCGGTACAAAGATCACCCTGACTTATCTTTTTCCAAGATTGCGGGGATTTCTGTCAATCCGAGCCCGTGTCTCTCTCCCCCCTTCCCTCGTTCCAGAAACTATATTAAAGGGTTCGTTTTTGCATTATGAAGCGCGCTTCCAAGCCATATTTTTCTCCTAGTGATTATCTCTATTTCTTTCGCGTTAGTTTTCACTCGTCCGGATTCATAATGCAGAAAGGCGTCAATTTGACTGTGACTTTCGGGGATTCGCGCGCGACGGTGCGTGCGGAGGCAGTGCGAGCGGAGGGGGTGCGCGCGGAGACGGTGCGCGCGGAGACGGTGCGCGTGGGGACGGTGCGCGAGAGCGGGAGTGAGGAGGAGGAGATCCTGTTGCGGAAGGCGAGTGAGGAGTGGAGTCGTGTTACCTACGCGTGGTACTGCGAGTATTTTTGGGTGCCCGGGGAGGACAACGGGCAGCCAATTAAAATCACAGTGCAACAGGATTTTCGTTTTGATACCTGCAAAACGTGCGTTTATGGCGGCGACTTAATGTAAGTAGCCTCTTCCCTGCCCCCTCGTCTCCCCTGCCGCCTCGTCTCCCATCCCACTGCCTCTCCCCTGCCCCCTTGTCCTCTCCCATGCCCCCGCCTCGTATGCCCCCGCCTCTCCCCTGCCCCCGCCTCTTTCCTGCCCGCTCTCCCCTCGCCATGTCTCCCCTTCGTTCCCCTCACCTCCCCGTCTCCCCTCGACTTACTACTTCTGAGTCGACGCAAAAGTCCCTTCGTTTCCCTCACCTCCCCGTCTCCCCTGCAGCGTTTGCGACGCGCCGGCGTGCCCCTGGGCATGGCACAAGGCGTGCTTAGAGCCCCCCCTCGCCGCCCTCCCCCAAGGCCCCTGGTACTGCGCGGACTGCCTTGGCCGCATCCGCGACTCCCTCCGCGCCCCCCGCGCGAAGACGGCGTTGGCTCCGGGCCATGTGGTCTTGGAGTCGGTGTGGGACGAGAGGGAGAAGAGGAAACGGGGCGCGGGGGGGGTTCGGGTGGGCGGCGCCGCGATGGCAGAGGGGCCTGTTTTTGAGTTGACTCAAGAACCCGCCGCGATGGGCGAGGGGAGTTTGGCCTGGCAGCATGACCAGGAGATGCGACGGATGAGGGCTTTGGCGGGTGAGGGAGAGGCACGGGGGAGGAGGGGGGGAGGTGCAGTGGGAAAGGCAAGGGGGAGAGGAGCCGGGGGGAGAGGAGCCGGGGGGAGAGGAGCCGTTGGGAGAGGAGCCGGGGGGAGAGGAGCTGGGAAGGCAGGCAGCAAGGGGAAAAGGGGAGGGAGGTCGGCGCAGGGCGAGGGGGGCTCGCAAGGCGGGGGGGAGGGGTTGGTAGGGGGAGGAGTCAGGGTGGGGGGAGGGCATGACGAGGGGCGGGGCAGGGGGAGGGAGTTTTTGGTGAAGTGGCTGATGCGTCCCCATGCGGAGAATTCGTGGGTGGATGGCGAATGGCTGGAATCCCGGTTTCCGGGACACCTGGCGGCCTATGAGAGGCTGAAGGCGGAGGGAAAGGTACGTACTTGCGTTTGTGTGGTGTTGTGTGTGGGTGGGGTGGTGTGGTGCGGTGTGGTGCGGTGTGGTGTGTGGGTGGAGGGGTTTATGCACAACACGGGTGGCAGCACATGGCACTGCAGAATATACCCCCACGAACACACACCAGCCCCCCCCACCCCCGCCCACCCCCCCCTCCCCCCCGTTTCTCTCTGTGCAGCTGCCCTTGTTCCGCAACGAATGGAAAGAGCCGGAGCGGCTGTTGGGGCGGTTCAGGGTGGAGGGATTGTCTCACGAGAACACGGGCGGGAACACGGAGGGGAACACGGGCGGGAACACGGAGGGGAACACGGGCGGGAACACGGGCGGCAGGGGGCGTGGCAGGAGGGGCGGCAGGGGGGGCGGCAGGGGGGGCGGCAGGGGGGGCGGCAGGGGGGGCGGCAGGGGGGGCAGCAGAGGGCGCGGCAGGGGGGACACGGGCGGCAGGGGGAACGACGGAGGGCAGCAGATGCAGGTCGCGGAAGACTACCAGCAATGGTGAGAGAAATGGGCGGCAGTGGCCCACTGTCCAACTGTCTACCTGTCCAATTGCTCACCCAACCCCACTGGCTCACCCAACCCCACTGGCTCACCCAACCCCACTGGCCATCTGTCACCCGCTTCCCAGCTTGGCCTACGCACCTTCCCCTCTTCTCATCTTTAGTGAAGAGCTCCGGCTTTACTGAACCCTACGCGGATTAGCTAGTTTTCTCTCCTCTTCCCTGTGTTCACTCCTGCGATTTTTTAGGCGCCTCATAAGCGGATTATCTAGTTCTTTCCCCTCTTCCCTGTGTTCACTCCTGCGCGTGTGTGGCACCATCAGGCTGGTGAAGTGGCGCGGGCTGGGGTACGACCACCTCACATGGGAGCCCACCACCATGCCCTTCTTTACCCTCCGCGGATTGGAGTTGCAGGCGAGGCATGAGAGGGAGAGGGAGGCGTGTGAGTGGAGAGGCACGGAGGAGGCAAGGTTGCAGGTGCGTATGTGGGTGGAAGGGTGGCTGGCTGGGGTGGCTGGGGTGGCTGGGGTGGAAGGGTGGCTGGGGTGGAAGGGTGGCTGGGGTGGCTGAGGTGGCTTTTGTTTTATGTCGTGAAACTGATTGCACGCAGGCGAGGCATGATTCATGAGAGGGAGAGGGAGGGCTGTGAACAGAGAGCCGGTGCGTGTGTGGGTGGAAGGATGGCTGGGGTGGCTTCTGTTTTATAACGTGAAACGGATTGCTCAAATGGCACAGCAGGCGAGGCAGTAGAGGGGGAGGGAGGGCTGTGAACAGAGAGCCGGTGCGTGTGTGGGTGTAACAGAGAGCCGGTGCGTGTGTGGGTGTAACAGAGAGCCGGTGCGTGTGTGGGTGTAACAGAGAGCCGGTGCGTGTGTGGCTGTAATAGAGAGCCGGTGCGTGTGTGGGTGTAACAGAGAGCCGGTGCGTGTGTGGCTGTAATAGAGAGCCGGTGCGTGTGTGGGTGTAACAGAGTGTTGCCTCTAGCACCACCCAGCCCAACTCCCCCCCCCCACCTTTAATCTCACCATTGCTCTTCTTTGTTCCTCCCAGGCAAGAGCAAGGCGCGCTGCGGCCTGTGCCGTCACACAGCAAGGCAGTCTAACCAATGTTGCTGCCCGCCCTCTGTGCCCGCCTCTACCCCCCCCCCCTCCCCCTTTGACCGCACCATCACTCTTCTTTGCTCCCCTCAGGCAAGAGCAATGCGCGCTGCCCCATTCGCCGTAACACAGCGTGCCAGTCCCACCGACGTCGGGCAATGGCAGGGCGGGGGCACGGGCCAGCACGTGGATACCATCCCCCTCACGTGGTTCCAGGTGGCGGCCTTTGATTGGCTGACGGCCCTCTGGCAGTGCAACGGGGGGGCCACACTGCACGGCGCGTTGAAAGCTGTGTGGGAGTCCGGGGGGGGACGCAGGCAGGTCGATGGGAGGGACAGGCAGATCGGTTGTGTGAATTCTCGAATCCGACATGGAGTGTGGGAGTGCGAGAGCACATGTCACGTGCAATCTGTCAACGTGTGGTCTTCTGGTGGTGGTGCTGCTGGTGGTGCTGCTGGGGGGGGAGCGGAGGCGGAGGGGGGAAAGGGGGATGGAGGGGAGGAGGAGGGGAATGGAGGGGTGGACGATGCGGTGGGAAGGCGTGCAGTGCTATGCATGGATGCTAGCATGGTGAGTGAGCATAGCAACACCATTGCATGGCATGGCATGCACGGTGACATGGCATGGCATGGCGTACACGGTGTGGCATTGCATGACATAGCAACACCATTGCATGGCATGGCATGCCTTGACATGCTGTGGCTTGGCATGGCATAACATGTCATTCCATGGCATGGCATGGAACAGGGCTGCTCCCATGTGCTCCTGGCGTTCTGCCGCGCCCTCCTCTCGCGCTTCAAGTGTGTGCGTCCCATCCTCATCATTTCCCCCTCTCCCTGCCGCATCGCATCTCTCCCTTCCCCGCCTTCCCCCCCCCCCTCCTCTCCCCCCTCCCCTCTACACCCCCCTCCTCCCGCCTTGAGCAGGGCACACACTAGATTGTTTGTGACCAGCATATATCTCTTCATAGTTGTAATCCAACACGAGCGTGAGCATCGAAGGCACACACTAGAACTTGCCTCAGGAAAATCATTCAAGTCCCCACATGACCCCCAACTACCCTGGAATCCCTGGCATTCAATCCTCTTCCAGCTAATGTAGTATATGCACAAGAGCAGTGAGTCGGTGAACGGTTGGTTGCTCTACTCCGCTTCCTTCACAGCATCCTGGGCAAAACCAGGCACATAAGAGGACAAACGGTCACACGAAAGTTGCACGAATACAGTGAGCAGTGTAGCTAATGAGTGCACTGTACAGCACATGACTACTTCCGAGACAGCTTAAAGGCGACACAGCAGCTACAAGAGTAACAGTAAGCACAGTACAAATAGTCGACAACTGGAAAGGAAGAATATTGGTAGTTACGAACTCTTGAACGGGCAGTGCTATGCGTCGTGAACTCAACCCAACCCCTTACCTGCACGATTTTGGTGATGTAAGTGGCGGCAAAGGCTGTGAGCGCCACCCCACCCAGCAGCGAATAGAGAGACGAGTCGCCCAGCAATGAGGTTCCATTCTCAGCCTCCTGAGAACGAGGAAACAGGGAAATGGGTTTATTCTGAGGTCAAGAGGTGAGTCCCCCAGCAATGAGCTTCCACTCTCCGCCTCTTAAGTAGTGAGAATGGAAGGCAGGGATTAATGGGTGTGGTAAACGGTGAGGTTGGGGGGGAGAGGGGGGTGGGGCCAAGGAGACAAACAGCAGTGGTAAGCGGTGTATGTAGTGCCTATCCCATCGTGCCGAATGGTTACTAAACTCGGAAGCAGATGAAGGTCCAACATGACGAATTCACAGAAAGCCACATATTGATGATTGCGAACACAAAGAGAAGTCATGATGAAGTAACCCAGGATAAGATGCATCACAAGTGGACCTCAAGATCAAAGAGAGGCGTACCAGAAGGGAGCGGCCAAAGGATCCGGCGCTGACATACGCCCACGTGCCTGGCAGCATGCCAATCCACCTGATATGTGGTAACAGGGAAACACGGAGACAAAATCGATAGGTGAGGGAGTTACCCTTTTGACCGAGACTAAGGGAAAAATGGCTGACAGAGTCCCCTGTGCCAGGCACCTTGCCAATCCACCTGGGATAAAGAAATCCTGCAGAGATGACGCGTGCCTGTGTGCTACTTGGGAAACAGCACACGGGTACGAGAGACCAGAGGAGATGCAGGGACGATGCAGGGAGACGGGCGAAGGGAGAGGGGTGGTGCAGGGAGGCGGGCGAAGGGAGAGGGGTGATGCAGGGAGGCGGGCGAAGGGAGAGAGAGTGGTGATGCAGGGAGACCGGCGAAGGGAGAGAGGTGATGCAGGGAGAGTGCAGGGAGAGAGGCGATGCAGGGAGAGAGGTGATGCAGGGAGAGAGGTGATGCAGGGAGAGGGGTGATGCAGGGAGTGGAATGATGCAGGGAGAGGTGATTCGACAAACATACAGCAACATGCGAGACAATCTGCACCAGGAATTACGTTCCAACCATGTATGGGAGCAGCTTCACGGGACTAAGAGAAGTGAGCCCATATAAGTAGCTCCCGAGAGAGAAGGGTATGTGGGGGCTGAGGCGCAGAAGAGTGACAATAGGCTGATAGCAATACGTAAGACAGTGTATATCACAACTTACGTGCCAAGGATGTACGGGAGAAGCTTCACGGAAGTGAGCCCGTAAAAGTAGTTCCCGAGGGAGAAGGGCATGAGGGGGCTGAGGCGCAGCAGAGTGACGATGCGGAACGAGTTGTTCCCTACTGCGCGGTCGATGGCTTCGTACTTCTTGTTGCCTCGCACCATATCTTGAATGCGATCGCGCGCCACGTACCGCGCAATCAGGAACGCGATCGTGGCGGAAACCTGGGGCACGCGGGGAGAAAGGGAAGGGGGATGGTGGGGAAAAGGGGGGGAGAGAGCGAGGGAAGGTGTTAAGCGGAGGGAAGGTGTTAAAGCGGAGAAAGTTGAGGAGATGGACAGTCGGAAGGAGGAGAACAGGAAGGAGGAAGCAGACCAAATGTCCGTTTAGAGTAGACCTGAAGGTTCAAGAAAGGTCAGGGACGGCATTGCGGAGGAGCGAGAGAGGGGTTGTTCACGCACACGCAAGCAAGACCCCCCAACCGACTATCAAGAAACGTCCCTCTACTGTCACACCCGCAAACCAAACACAACCCCGCGCGTTACAATCACGCACCGTGCCAGAGAGGCTGCAGAGGAACGTGCCCATGACCGGGCCGAACAGCACACCAGCGGACAGCGTCAGCGGAATAGCCGGAACCGCGAGCACCTCCAGAAGCGAGTACCCTAGAACGAACGTCACGTATCCCCCGGATCCCGCTCCTTCAATGTACGTTGTGAAGTAGTCAATCGCGTTGGAGATGTCGTCCCGAAAATAATATCCCAGAAGCGCCAGTGACGCGACGACGCTTACTATCAGTGCTCCCGCCGCCAGCGTGCCGCCGATCGCCGCTTCCTTGCTTACGACCTCGCCATCCGAGTCGGATTCCAAGTCAGTTGCCACGTCAGCCCCCACGTCACCTGGCTTCTCAATCGCCACGTCATCAGGCTGTGAGTGGGTCGCTATTGTCAGCAAGAACTCGGGAGAGGCATTCGCGTCTGCTTCTTGATGGGTGGACTCTAGATTCACTCGATGAGCAGTCGCGTTTTGACGTGTCTCCAGAATCACGTCATGCGGGAAGACTCCATTGTTGTCCTCGTTATCAGAGGCGTCATGGAAAGGTTTTATGAGCTTGACGCCGTTAGGGACATCCCAGAGACTGTCAGACTCATGTCGTTTCCGTTCTTTTTGAAGAGCACACCGAACCGAGCTGTACCGAGCTGGATTGCTCCGAATCAATCGGTTCTGCGTAGTTCTGACATGAAACGGCGAAAGGCTTTGCCAGGCTGAAACGCATCGTTCACGGCGATGGTCCGTTCTGTGGGGTAGTCTGATAGCCGTGACATTAGAGAGGGCTTGTGGTGAACTGTGTGACTGTAAGGGGGAGCGATGTGCTGCTAAAGGAGTCCGCAAGGCGGTTTTGGCTACTCCTGTCGCCATGGTTACTACTCGCGTTGAAGCTCAAGGCGAGGAGCTTAAGAACACACACGCGCGGCGCAACGAGCGGCTTCCGATCGAAACAGTCGTGACACGACGCAGTGGAAAACGATCAGTTTCCGAGGCACGTCTTAAGGTCGCCGCTAGAAACTAGGTTCACCGAACCGAAGGGTGCTCAACCCTAAGGGAAATAAGCTCTGAAGCTTTGGATTGCTGCAACCTGTTATGCTCCACCAAGAGCAAGCTGGAGAGAGCTACCTCCACCTCCTCGCGCCCCGCTGAATGAAATAATCAAGAAGTGCAGGACTGACACTTACTACCCTTCCCGTCAGTCACGGCTGGGAAAGGTGTAGAGCGCGGCGATTTGGCGGTGGTCGGAGTGATGTGGGTGAATATCGGAGTGATGAAATGAGTTCCTCGAGAGAATGGAGTGGAGAGTGGAGAGTCTCGGCAGGCTGGGAGTGAGGCGTTGGGATGGGACAGTGGTGGTTCGTAATCCTCGAGGGGATGTGAGTGAGCGCTGGATGTGCTTGCAAGGCGTACAGTTTGGTGCTCTTTTGGGAATATACTCAGCGGAACGTGCACTGAACTCAACGGAGAGTTGAGATTGGGCGATGCGGCCTGAAAATTCCCACGAAGCGGGAATGAACGGGTAAGATGTTAAACGAGGGATGAACTTTCACGAAGCAAGGATAGATATGTGCTGCAACGGAAGCACGACAGAGGGCCATCCCACCCCACCCCACCCATCGCAGCTGGTGATGATGATGACGATGATGTGTTTGTGCGATCACCGATGGCTGAAACCAAACACGCGCGAGGTGTGTGAGGGAGGAAAGCGAAGCGAATAGCGTGGCACGAGGTCTCAAAGACGGGGACTGACAGCCAACCAAGTGCTTTCCAACACTGTGCGGATGAAAATGGAGAGTCACGTGGCACCGAGTCATTGCCCCATGCACACGCTATGCTGTTGATGCTTCTTTGACACACGGTGTCAAGTGGTCAACGCTGCGTCTGTTTCGTTTCATGCTGACGCGTATCGGGTCATCGATGGTGGTTGAAGACCATAAGAGGTGCACACTTGGCATTTTCTACGAGCATTTCGTGTGGAAAAAGGACGTCACCATTAGCACCGCTCCACGTCGGCGCGGGATCTACGTCGGAAAGGGAATCGTTGGTGGCTTGAGATTCCATGTCCGCGGATCGTGGGATTGGGCTGGGATGGGTCTGGCTGATATGCCTCTAGATCATCTATTGGTGAAAGCGATTGTCAGCTAATCAGAAAGTGCAATACTGAGATTTTTACAACAGATGAAGATGCTGATGGAAGGTTGAGATTGTCCGGTGATGAAAGGTTGAGACTGTCCCCAAGCCTCGAAGTTCACTACAACAGGATGTCAGCATGTTCCTACAGTTACAGCACAAGTAGCAAACTAATCACCTCATAAAGTGGATTCATACTAAATGACTCACATAAGCTAAACCATCCATATGCGGAAGCCCCTGCGCAATGATATCCTAAATAAAGAATGTGTTACAGCAGATGTAACGTTGCTAGTCCAACATCCTGAGAGGCTGAGTCTGTAATACAATACAACCTCTTTATTGCCACACAAAGTCCAATGTAACCCACAGCTACTGGAACCAGCGACCCACCTGGTATTGCTCCTGTTGCTCCTGTGGCTTCGCGTCGACCTGGTCCTCTTGCTTTGCAATCTTTGGGCCTTTGAACCATCGGTGAGCGTCAAGAAACCACCATAGAAGAAACATGGCGACCACGACCACGATTCCCACAGCAGCATAGTTGAAATTCTCCGCCGTTACAGGATATTCAGTTGGGATAACGAAGACAACCATAGTGTAGACGACGTATGTGAGAGCGAGGACGTGGACGCACTTGCTGACAAGGGAGGAAGGGGAAGGGCAACGGGGAGGGGGGAAGGGGTGAGGTGGGGGGTTGAACGGGGGAGGGTGGAGGGTGGGGGGCGGAATTTGTGGAGAGTTTTTCGGGCACCTAAAACAAATGTTGACACACTCTGATATGGGAAAAGGGGAATGGGGAGCGCGGGGGGAAAGCGGGTTACAAGGAGTGTGAAAGTGAAGATTGGCCTTCAAATACCCCTCACCTGCACCTCGCTAGCCCTCTCACCTCTCGCTCTCTACCACCCCTCTGTCTCTCCACCACCTTCTCTTCTCCACACCCTCTCCCATGCTCACCCGCCCGTGTGCCCAATGTAGTTGGGAAGAAAGAAGGGCCCTGGAACAATGTCCTTATCAGACTGGATAATCCGAAAGAACACCGGCACTCCGTACGCTCCGAACCACCCCACGGTGGCCATGCCGGTGACGGCAAAGTAGGTGACAGACAGACTCCCCCAAACAGAAGCACAAGGAGTGAAACACCCACCATTCCCCTCCTCTTCCCCTCCTTCCCCTCTGTCTGCTCCCGCCCCCTCTCTCTCCCAACCACCCCTACCTCCCGCCCCTGCTCACCCGCCCGTGTGCCCAATGTAGTTGGGAAGAAAGAAGGGCCCCGGAACAAAGTCCTTATCAGACTGGATGATGCGAAAGAACACCGGCACTCCGTACGCGCCGAACCACCCCACCGTGGCCATCCCCGTCACAGCAAAGTAGGCCACGGAGCCTCCGAGCAGCGGCATGAGGAACACGATGGCGATGGCGCTGGTGCAGGCAATGGCGTTGACTGGGACCTTGCTGGAATTCACTCGGCGCCACAGGAAGGAGAGCGGGAGACCCCTATCCCTAGACAATGCGTAGCCCTGGGAATAAGTGGTTAGAGGAGGGGGAGGGGGGAACAAGGGGGGGAACGATAGGGAAAGTAGGGGAGGAGAAGAACAGGGTGATGGCGCTGGTGCACGCTATGGCGTTCACTGGCACCTTGCTGGAGTTCACTCGGCGCCACAGGAAGGAGAGAGGGAGACCACGGTCCCGAGACAACGCGTAGCCCTGGAGTGGGGCGCAGGGTTGGGAAGGACATGGGGGAGGAGAGGGAGAGGGTGATGGCGCTGGTGCACGCGATGGCGTTCACTGGGACCTTGTGGGCGTTCACTCGGCGCCACAGGAAGGAGAGAGGGAGACCCCTGTCCCGAGACAAGGCATAGCCCTGGTGGGGGGGAGGGGAGGAGTGGAGTGGTGTGGGGAGAGGAGAGGGGGAATGAGCTGGCTGGGGTATTAGTGCTGATATGCACCGAACCACCCCGCAGTGGCTAGTCATCCCGGTCGTCCCAGTGCTGAAAGGAGGCCTACTTTTGAGGCGCCTCAACAGTAGTTATCCCGGTCTTGGAAAACTAGGCCACCGAAGCAAAAGGAGAGGGGGAGGCTCAGAACACCACCGCACAGCACCACGCCATATCACACCACACACCACTCATGAAGCTCACCACGTGGGCAGCAGCAAGGATGAGGGTGATGCCGACGAAGCAGGAGATAGTAAAAAAAGTACAGAAGACCACCGCACCACACCACACCACACCACACCAGACCAGACCAGACCAGACCACACACCACCAATCCAACTCACCACACGCGCAGCAGCGAGGATGAGGGTGATGGTGGCGAAGAAGAAAGAGATGAAGAAGAGACCCAGGAACACACAGGCACCCGTGCCGCTGCCGAACCTGAGAGAAACAACAGGCAGGCACGGGAGGCATGCATGGGGGTAAAGAAGAGACACAGGAACACACAGGCACCCGTGCCGCTGCCGAACCTGAGAGAAACAACAGGCAGGCACGGGAGGCATGCATGGGGGTAAAGAAGAGACACAGGAACACACAGGCACCCGTGCCGCTGCCGAACCTGAGAGAAACAACAGGCAGGCACGGGAGGCATGCATGGGGGTAAAGAAGAGACACAGGAACACACAGGCACCCGTGCTGCTGCCGATCCTGAGAGGGATGGATTGAGGCATGGGAGACATTCGTGAGGGGAAGAACATAGAGGGGATGAAGGAAAGAGGCGAAGAGGAGACTCCGAAACACACAAGCACCCGCGCCACTGCCGAACCTGAGCGGGACAACAGGCAGGCAGGGGAGGCATGCATGGGGTTGGGGGGGGGAGGCATAATGGGGAGGAAGGAGGTGAAGAAGAAACCCAGGAAGACACAAGCACCCGCGCCGCTGCCGAACCTGAGACGGATCAAGGCAGGTATGGGATGGGAAAGGCATAACGGGGAAGAGAAGGAGGAGGTGAAGAAGAGACCCAGGAAGACACATGCACCCGCGCCACTGCCGAACCTGAGAGGCACAATGGGGCAGGCAGGGATGGGGAAGGAAGGGAGCAATAGGGAAAGCACGGAAGAAGGAGTTCAAGTAGAGAGGCACAGGAACACACAAGTACCCACGCCGCTGCCGCACCTGAGAGGCACAATGGGGAGAGGCACAATGGGGAGAGGCACAGGAACACACAAGTACCCACGCCGCTGCCGCACCTGAGAGGGTGGGGGTTGGGAGAGTAGGGGAAGGAAAGGAGGAAGAGAAGAAGAAGGTGAAGTGAAGAAAAGGGCCATGAAGAGTCTTCGTCGAAGACACATGCACATTCGACAATCCTCAAACGCACCTGCCTGCCTTTTTGAGAATTCTCAAAAACGAGATGAAGAAGGTGAAGTGAAGAAAAGGGCCATGAAGAGTCTTCGTCGAAGACACATGCACATTCGACAATCCTCAAACGCACCTGCCTCACAACCCACCTGCCTCACAACCCACCTGCCTCATAACCCACCTGCCTCATAACCCACCTGCCTCATAACCCACCTGCCTCATAACCCACCTGCCTCAAAACCCAACTGCCTCATAACCCACCTGCCTCACAACCCACCTGCCTCATAACCCACCTGCCTCATAACCCACCTGCCTCATAACCCACCTGCCTCATAACCCACCTGCCTCACAACACACCTGCCGTCAAACACGTCCCAGAGAGGATTTGCTCCTCTGCAAACTCTCCCCACACACATGCACTGGAACCCACATGCCATGGAACCCACATGCCATGGAACCCACATGCACTGGAACCCACATGCCATGGAACCCACATGCCATGGAACCCACATGCACTGGAACCCACATGCCATGGAACCCACATGCACTGGAACCCACATGCCATGGAACCCACATGCCATGGAACCCACATGCCATGGAACCCACATGCCATGGAACCCACATGCCATGGAACCCACATGCCCGGAAACCCACCTGCCATAGAACACGTCCCAGAGGATTTGCACCTCTGCAAAGTCCCCACCAGTCACCGTGTCCTTTGAGAGCAGGTTCTCTGGGTCCTGCGGGGGCAAGCAGGGAGAGAGGAGAGGCGAGGAGAGGAGAGGACGGGAGAGGAGAGGAGAGGAGCAGGCGAGAAACCCTTGAGGCGCCTAAAAAGGCATTTCGCAAAGTCCCCACCAGTGACTGTGTCCTTTGAGAGCAGGTTCTCTGGGTCCTGCGAGGGCAAGCAGGGAGAGAGGAGAGGCGAGGAGAGGAGAGGACGGGAGAGGAGAGGAGAGGAGCAGGCGAGAAACCCTTGAGGCGCCTAAAAAGGCATTTCGCAAAGTCCCCACCAGTGACTGTGTCCTTTGAGAGCAGGTTCTCTGGGTCCTGCATGCATGCACCCACAGTGAAAGGGGAGAGGAACGGACTTTGAGACGTATCAAAAGGTGAATCTGCACCTCTGCAAAGTCCCTGCCAGTGGCCGTGTCCTTAGGGTCCTGCCGGGGCAAGCAGGGAGAGAGGAGAGGCGAGGAGAGGAGAGGAGAGGACAGGAGAGTAGGCGAGAGAGGAAAATACTATTTTTGAGTCGCTTTTGAGATTTCTCAAAAGGGACGGGAGAGGAGGAGAGAGAGGAAAAGACGATTTTTGAGACGTCTCAACAAGAGGATCTGGACCTCTGCTGCAAGCCGTCCTGTGCTGACTCACGAGCTGTGTTTCACCACCGCACCGCACCGCACCACACACACCTGGATGCAGAAGGTGAGAGTCACAATGACACCCCACTCCATGAAGCAGATAGCCGAGAGGGTTGCTACCATGTGCTGTGCTCTCTTGTGCTCTTCATCTCCCCCCCCCACACACCCACCTGGATGCAGAATGTCAGTGCCACGATGTCACCCCATTGCACAAAGCAGATGAGCGAGAGGGCAGCTATCATGTGCTGTGCTGGCCTGTGCTGATAATCAGTGCTGTCTGCTTCCGTGAGCTGCACTGCAGCACGCACCTGGATGCAGAATGTGAGAGCCACGATGACGCCCCATTGCACAAAGCAGATGAGCGAGAGGGCGGCGATCATCGCAAAGGGAGTCATCACATCGGACCGCTTCGCCTCTTCTGACGTGTGTGCCGCTGCATCGAAGGCGTAGAGGGCGTACTGTGACATGAGGAGGCCTGCTACCACCGCATATGCCTGGGAGTGGGGTCAACCAATAAGGAGGGGAGGGGAGAGGGGAAAGGTCCAGCTTTGCCTTTTCTGACAGGTGAGCCGCTGCATCGAATGCATAGAGGGCGTACTGAGACATGAGCAGGCCGGCTACCACTGCATATGCCTGGGAGCGAGGGAAGGGGCACGAACAAAGAAATCATGCGCACACTTCCCGCTTCGGTTCGCCTCTTCCAACATGTGAGCCGCTGCGTCGAACGCGTAGAGAGCGTATTGAGACAAGAGGATGTGTGAGAGAAAAGGCACACACGATCCACGTGTTGCTACCGCGTTTCCGTGAACACGAGCGGGAGAGAAGAGGCACACAGGAGGAGTCACGCTCGCTGATGGGAACTCCCGACCACCACCCAAACAAGTTTCCCCACATACATTTCGGTTTGAAGGGGTGGTAAGAGTGGGCATTGGGCAAAACTCACCCCGTTGGGAATGCCTGTGATGCTGTATTGCACCTCAAAGTGACCCAACACACCCACGAGGCTGGCTGGTCTTTGCGACAGCAGGGAGAGTAATCACAAACACCAGTGCCACCAGGAATAAGAGACTCACCCCGTTGGGAATGCCTGTGATGCTGTATTGCACCTCAAAGTGACCAAACACCCACGAGGCAGGCTGGTGGGTCTCTGCGACAGCAGGGAGCGTGATTATGAACACGAATGCCACTAGAATCTGGTGGAGCAAGTAAGGGGGGAGGGAGGAGAGAGGCCAAAACAGGGGGAGGCAGAGGGTGAACAAGGGCACGAGAATGTGACAGAAGGGAGTGTGATTATGAACACGAATGCCACCAGAATCTGGTGGAGCAGGTAAGGGGGAGGGAGGAGGGAGGACAAAGCGGGAACAGGGTGAGTGATCATAAACACCAGTACTATGGGATCCCATGGGATCTGGTGGAACATGGGGCGGAGAGGGCAGATGGGGGAACAGAAGAGGGAAAGAGGGCGCTCACAGGGATAAGCAACCCCCCATTCAACGTTCATGTAGAAAATATCGGATCCTCTCTCACCTGCAGCACCGCCCCGACTGCCAAGAATTGCCCCACTCGCTTGATGGGGGGCACGTTGATGGCAGCACAGACGAGGATGCGAGCTGATGGGGCTATAACTTGAACTTACATCACATCTCTTTGCTCACCTGCAGCACTGTCCCGACAGCCAGAATTTGCCCGACTCGCTTGATGGGAAGCACGTTGACGGCAGCACAGACCAGAATGAGCGCCGCACACGACAGGAACTGCAGGTAGTGGGGGAAATCATATCCGCCCCCGTTGGCGCCACCTGGAGGGAAAGGGGAAGCAAAGCGACGATGGGGGGACGACATGTGGCACACACAGAATGAGCACCGCACACGAGAGGAACTGCAGGTAATGCGGGAAGTCGTATCCGCCCCCGTTGGCGCCACCTGGAGGGAGATGGGAATAAAGGATGGGACGGACAGATAAAAACGGGAAGGGGGGACGGCATACGGCACAGACGAGAATGAGCGCCACACACGCCAGGAGTCGCAGGTAGTGCAGGAAGTCGCATCCCCTCCTTAAAAAGCCCATTCACCCACCCATCCACCCACCCACCCACCCATCCACCCACCCACCCACCCACCCATCCACCCACCCACCCATCCACCCACCCACCCACCCATCCACCCGCCCGCCCGCCCGCCCGCCCGCCCGCCCGCCCACCCGCCCGCCCGCCCGCCCGCCCGCCCGCCCGCCCGCCCGCCCGCCCACCCACCCACCCACCCACCCACCCACCCACCTGTGGCGATCAACACGAGTGACATGATCTGCTCAATGCCCCCAAACGCCACTCTGCCCACTCCCATCTGTGGCAAGGAGCACTCCTCCCAACAAGGAGCACCCACCCATCCACCGACCACCCATCCACCGACCACCCATCCACCGACCAACCCAGCCACCGACCACCCATCCACCGACCACCCATCCACCGACCACCCATCCACCGACCACCCATCCACCGACCACCCATCCACCGACCACCCATCCACCGACCACCCATCCACCGACCACCCATCCACCGACCACCCATCCACCGACCACCCATCCACCGACCAACCCAGCCACCGACCACCCATCCACCGACCACCCATCCACCGACCACCCATCCACCGACCACCCATTCACCGACCACCCATCCACCGACCACCCATCCACCGACCACCCATCCACCGACCACCCATCCACCGACCACCCATCCACCGACCACCCATCCACCGACCACCCATCCACCGACCACCCATCCACCGACCACCCATCCACCGACCACCCATCCACCGACCAACCCAGCCAGCCACCGCACTGCACCCACCTGTGGCGATCAACACGAGCGACATGATCTGCTCAATTCCCCCAAACGCCACTCCGCCCACTCCCACCGACACGCCCACAAACTCCAACCAGCCCTGTATATGGATGGGGGAGGGAGGGTGGGACGGATGGACGGGAGAGAGTGAGAGGGAAAAAAGTGGACGTGACTCTTGAGTCGGCTCATTCATGCCCCCCCAAACGCCACTCCGCCCACTCCCACCGACCGACACCCCGACAAACTCCAGCCAGCCCTGCAGGCAGACCGACGGGGGAGGGTGAGAGAGAAATGTAGCGGCGACTTTTGATTCCGAGGTAACTTAATAAGTCCCCCAAAACAAAGGCTGCCCTCTCCCACTCCCACCGGCATCCCCACAAACGACAACCAGCCCTGCAGGCACGCAGATGGGGGAGGGAGGGTGAGAAGGAAATGTAGACGTGACTTGTGAGGCAACTTCATAAGACCCTCAAACCAAAGGCTGCCCTCTCCCACTCCCACCGGCACCCCCACGAATTCCAAACCTACCAGCCCTGGAAATACTCGGGGGAGGGTGCGAGGGAAGGTCGAGGAGGCTTTGTGAGTCGGCATAAACGGCAAACGCCACTCCATCAAACGCCACAGTCGCCACTCTCCCAAGCGCTACTCCCCCCCCACTCCCAGTTTTGAGTCGACTCAGAAGTCAACTTTGTGAGTCGGCATAAACGGCAAAGGACACTCCTTTAAACGCCACAATTGCCACTCCCCCAAGCGCTACTCTCCCCCACTCCCGCGGACACCCCCACAAACTTTAACCAGCCCTGGAGATGCGCAGGGGGCTTTAAGGAGACGTGGAGAGGAGTGGGAGAGGAGAGCTAGAGTGACTTCTGAGTCGACTAAGAAATGCCTCCCCGAAAGCCACCACCCCCACAACGACCACCTATTACATTACACACACAGTAATGAACGGATAGCAATGAACACTCACAGTAGTCCATGCTGCGAACTGGCCGTTCTTTAGTTCAGCGAGAGCAGGCATGCAGACGGCAATACGTGAACAATCTCTATCCTTACTCACAGTGATCCATGCTGCAAACGGACCGTACTTTGGGCCGGCAAGAGCAGCCGCCCAAAAATAGAGCGAGCCTGCTGTCTGCAGAGGGGAGTGAGGGAGGGTTGGGAGGGGTGGAGAGGTGTTTTACGCGGTTCCAAAAAGCAGCCTCCCGGAAATAGAGCGAACCAGCTGTCTGCATAGGGCGATGGGGGAGAGGAACGGGAGGGAGAGAGGGGGGGAGTGGGAGAGGAGGGGAGGGGAGGGGAGAATAGGGGAGAGGAGGGGGAGAAGAGGAGGGTGGAGGAGAGGAGGAGGGGACGGGGAGAGGAGAGGAGGGGAGAGAAGGGGAGCGGGAGGAGGTGAAGCGGAGGGGGTTAGGGGAGGCGGAGAGGAAATGAAGGGAAGGGGAGAAAAAGAGGGTTGAGAGACGGGACAAGAAGGGGGCAACGGAAAGAGCTGTGTTTGTGTGTGTGTGTGTGTGTGTGTGCATGCGTGGAAGTGTGTGTGTGTGTGTGTGTGTGTGTGGAAGTGTGTGTGTGTGTGTGTGTGGAAGTGTGTGTGTGTGTGTGTGGAAGTGTGTGTTTGTGTGTGTGTGTGTGCGCGCGCGCGCTCGCGTGTGTGTGTGTGCGCCCGTGCATGCGTGCAAGTGTGTGAGGGAGAGCGTGCGGGACTGAGCAGCTCACAGGGCAAAAGGAAGAAGAAGGAGAGGCCGAGCAGGTGGGCGAAGAAGGCAGTAATGAGTGATGACTGTGTGGGTGTGTGTATGCGTGTGCGTGTGTCCGTGCATGCAAGTGTGTGTGGGGAGGGACTGCATGATCCACTTACAGGGAAAGAGGAGGCGATTTCAGCAAAGGAGAGGGCGAGCAGATGGGCGAAGAAGGCAGTGATCCACCAGAACCACACGCAGCACACGGGACCGCCGTTGAGATACGCCGTGCTGCAAGGGAAGCACAACAGGCACAAGAGATGAAGGGAGGGAGAATGAGGGCAGTGCAAGTCAAGCAGTGATCCACAAGAACCACACGCAACACACTGGGCCACCGTTCAGATACGCCGTGCTGCAGGGAAAACACAGAAGAGGTGGGGGGGGGGGGGGGCATTGCAGGTGGTGAACACTCAGAACCCATTTCGTTGCAGGTTGAGTTTGAGAATGCTCAGAATCGACCTGCGAGAACAAAGCAAACGCAATCGAGATGGCGGGCCATTGCAGGTGGTAATCACTCAAAACCCCAAGCAGCGGAAAGCACTCCGTCCACCCTTCTTCTTCTCCCACACCAGCTTCCCACCCAAATCATCCACTCAAACACCCATGCACGCAACCATGAGTCCATGCACGTGAGTCGTGATGTATGCATAGTAGGGGATCCCCAGAAACCTGCCCACGTCGACTAAGAAATGGCCACGCCCAAACCCATTCACGTATGAGTCCACGCGTGCACATGTGTCGTGACGTACCCATAGTAGGGGATCCCCAGGAACATGCCCACGCCACAGAACGCCACTGAGAACAGCTCGAACGAGTTCTGCAGACGAGAGGAAGAAGGGGTTACATTGTTACAACAAATACTTTTCAGTCGACTCGGCTCGGAACAATTGCCCAGCGATACAAAAGTGTGGAGTTTCAAGTTAACGACCGGCACCCCTTGCTCAAAACATATCTTGAGTCGGTTCAGAATCAGGATTGAGAAGTTTCAGGTTTGGGGTTAGCCGCCGCGGCAGCGGGCCGCAAAACGAAAACGGGAAACAGAGCGGCGCTTTATGAAGCGTACAGACAAGAAGAAAGGTTTGCCGCGTACAATCGACAGGAAATTAACTGAAACGTGATAGTGGCGCACTTTGACGCTTACAAACGAAACGAGGGGATGGACTCGAGGGAGGAAGTGGAAAACACGAGAAACAGGACGATCATGACCCGGTGGCGTCATTTCCTTCAAGGACGAAAATCAGGATAACTTGCGGTGTACGCGTTATAGAGTCTCACCATGGACCGCTGCAGGTCCTGCGTGTATCCAAGCTCCATTAACCGTTTCTCTCCGGAATCAAGCTCCAACGTAAACAGCACGCCATCATCTAACATAATTTCCATGGTCTTTGCTTTCCCCTCCCCGGCCTCTCCGCCTTCCCCGCCTTCCGCTCCGCCAACGTGGATTCCCCCGTCTTCTTTCACGAGTGCAACCACCGCAGCCCCCTCAAAGGCGCAGCCTTCGCGGAAAAGCTCGTCTTCCTCTGACTGCACGATCGCCGATTCCGTCGCCGTCGCCATAATGATGGGTGTACTAACACTTTTATTTGTCTAAGCGGAACGTCTTACAGCTATTTTGGAGTGAATACTCAATATGATGCTTAACGGAATCAAGAAGGGAAAAAATACGCGGCTGCTTGAAATAAGAGTGGAAGGAATCGCGTCGCGTTAGCGCCTCGAGGCGTACCGACAGAATCTTTTTTTCGCGTGGCTCCGGAGGTGAATGTTGAGTCGACAGCGACGAGCTGAAAGAAAAAGGTTGTCAGCTCCTAATAATATCTGCATGTGTCCAAGCAGCTCTAAATACTACGGCGCTCCCGAGAATAAATCATGAGTTTTGCGACGTCGGAAAACGAGAACTTCGAGGCGCGCGGTCTGGAGCGACGGGTGTCGTCGCTAACTTAAGTTAGAACGTAGAAAGGGCGGCTGCATTGCTCAGGAAGAAAAAGACGGGTCAGCTCGGTTCAATAATAACTTAACATCCGTGACGTCGGAGTGTGAATGAAGCACTTACGGTTGAGAAGCAATTGCAATGAGCTATGTATTTTCTTGGGGGTAATATTGCTTCAATCAGGCTGAGAACCCGAAGCTCGTAGCTAGCGCTGCGCGGCAGAGTTTCTTGGCAAAACGATCATGGAAGTGAAGGGAAGGAAGGTTTAGTTGAGCAAGTGGCGTGCTTGGAGTATGTCTGACACAGTTGCAGAGCAACTAGAAACGGAAAGCCCCCACCCCTACCCAGACCAGACCAGACGGCTGCACTTCGAAAGATTTGGTAGGTTCCTGCAATTAGGGCGTATCTTGGAGCTCATTTTCCGTCAAGAACCTACCGAACCGTTTGAAAAAGTAGGAGAAACTTTGTGGAACACACAGCACCGCACTGGTTCGCAGAGTGATGGCAGTCCTGAACACTGCTAGTTGGGGGGAGGCTTGGTGTTTCTGAAACGGTACAGACTGTCATAGCTCGGTGCAACGCGCTGGAGAGGGTTAGCAGCCTATGTCACCCACTCGCAACCGCTGCAACTGTACGATGGAGCGGAAGGAGCATGTCTGTTATTTATTTATTTCGGTCAACCTTGACCACATCTTTTGCACGCGCACACCTAGAGAGTGTCCCCTAGAGGATACGGGCGGCAGCGGGGGAGTTCAGGCTTGTAGGGTTGCGACTCCTAAAATAAGTGTCACCACAGAGTGCCCATGTGTTGACTTCATCAACTAGCCCACTACGGCCTACTAATAATGTCCATGCTGAGAAGCACCAGAATTAGGCGCACACTATTGAGCGCATCATGGGTTTCCGCAAGCATTCTCGTGGTGTTGAGGACTATTTTCAAGTGCCAAGCACATAAGAACAGTAGCACTGGAATCATGACCGGAGTATGGAACAGATTGTGGTTATAACGAGCCGTTACAACAGAAAAGGTTTCAAGTAGTACCCAGGAAACATGCTCAATCCAGGTGTACCCTAGTCTCTTCTGGTCAGGATGGAAGGAAAACATGCTGAATAGGTGTGGCCTGGGTGGGGTGGGTGGGGGAAGGTGGAGAGGTAGGTTGGGACTGTCACTCCACTCTACTGTATTCTCATCACCAGTGGTGCAGTTCGGTTCTTTGACCGCAATCTTGTTTCACAGTGGTCTTTGGTGTGGTCTTTTCCATTCGTAAAAACACAACTTGACCAAACACAGAACCATGAAAGTTACGTAGGTTTCAATATTTTCTATTTCACGATACTGGTTTCACCTCTCTCCAACAACGCGTACAAACGAGGCAGTCACCACTACCACTTGATAGCTTGTGCCCTAGCCTCAGCAAGCCAGACACGTGTCAATTATGGCGCACCTGACGGCCGTTCCCCCCGCGCTTCCGTCAACCCTCCACGTGGCGTCAGCTCATTCGCCTAATGTGGTGGTCACATCACGAGCATGCGCGATTACCGTGTTACCATTCGCCTCGCATTGCGCATCCACCACATTTTCTAGAGCGCACCTCATAACGTCCCGAAACTTCCCGCTGATTTCTTCACGAGCCCCGCATTTTCCGCGACTCGCCTCAAGACCCGAGCGTAGCCCAGGTGATGTCGTTACCCGCGCTTCGGGGAATAGTTCGGCGGCGCGCGATCCCGAATCCTCGGGGGCAGTGAGCGAGGAAGAGGAGCAAGCGGAGGAGGAAGAAGAGGAGGAGGAGGAACCGGAGCTGGAAAAATGCCATTTTGGCGGGACGGAATTGGAGCGGTTCGTGAAAATCAACGAGGGCCAGTGGCGTGGCGCGTTTCTGGTGAGCCTGACGCACTGGTGACGGCTATTACGATAAAGATATCAAGGACAGCAGGGCCACGACATTCTGAATTTTACTGTACAAGTCAATTTGTAAAAAAAAAAAAAAAAAAAAAAAAAAAAAAAAAAAAAAAAAAAAAAAAAAAAAAAAAGGGTTGCTTGAGCGTTTGAGGGCAAAGGCTGGTTCAGGGCACAAAGGATGCAACCTTGAGAGATGATCCCAAGGTCGGTCCTGTTTCAGACTGTTTCAAAACCTTCAGCCATGTCGGCTGGAGGTCAGGTTCAAGATTCAGGTTCGGGCGGGGTTTAGGTTGGGGGTTTCAGCCTCGGGTTTAGGGTTTGGTTTGGGCATCTTAGTACATGCCCCCTCGTGCCGCTCCTGTCCCCTCTTGCCCCCTGGTTCCCCCATCCCCTCCTCCTTCACTCTCCCCCGTCACCTCCCAGCACTATGATCTGAACGGCTGCAACCCGCATGCTTCACATAGTGTACACCCACCTCTCTTCTCGTCTCGTCCCCCCTGCCTTCTCCGCGGGCCTCTCTTCTCACATTCCTTTCTCCTTCCCCTCTTGCTCCCCCACTCCGCCCCCTTCCTTCCCCCCTTCTCCCGTACCAGCACTACGATCTGAACAGTCGCCTGCTACACTGAGTGCCCACCCGCCTCTCTTCTCGTCCCCATTGCCTTCCCCCACTCCCCCCACCTCTTTCCCCACATCCTCTCTCCTCACTCCTCCCCTTACCAGCACTACCATCTGAACAGTCGCCTGCTACACAGAGTGCCCAGGCTTGTCTTTTCCCTATATCCGCTCCATCGCCCTCCACCCCCCTGCACCCTCCTCCACCCCCCTCCACTCCCCTTTGCCAGCATTACGATCTGAACGGCTCTGCTACACAGAGTGCGCACCCGCCTCTCATCTCAGCTCCCCACATTCCGTACCCTCACTCTCCCCCCTTCTCTCCCGCTTTCGTCCCCTCTTCCCTCCCCCTTTCCTCCTACCAGCATATGTTCTGAACCGCCGTTTGCTGCACAGAGTGCCCACGCGCCTCTCATCTCTACCTCATTCCCTTCTTGGGCTTGCCTTTTCCGCACATCCGCTCCACAGAGAGCCCACACTCCTCTAACCTTTGCCTCCCCTCCACCCCCCTTCACCCCTCTCCATCCCCCTCCACCCCCTCCCTACCAGCACTACGATCTGAATGGTCGCCTGCTGCACAGAGTGCCCACCCGTCTCTCTGCTACAGCCTCTGGCCAGGGAGAGAACAGCTCCCTGCTACAGACGTAAGTCTCTGCTACAGACGTGAGTCTCTGTTACAGACGTAAGTCTCTGCTACAGTCGTGAGTCTCTGCTACAGACGTGAGTCTCTGTTACAGACGTAAGTCTCTGTTACAGCCTCTAGACGTGGTAAATATTACGTTTTCTTTCATTACTGAGCCCTAGGTCTCTCCATTCCTCTGCACCTCTCGCCACCCGCTGCCACCTCTTACCATTCCCCTCCCCTCCTCTCACCTCCAGCCCAAGTCGAGTATGCAGCAATCGCTCATAGAAAGACTGCTAGAAATTTTCGTCCCCTCTGCTCCTTGTTCTTTTCCTCCCCTCCTCATTCCCCCCTCCCATCTGCTCACAATTTCTGTCCCCTCTTCTCACGATTCCTGTCCCCTCTTCTCACCATTCCTGTCCCTCTTCTCATCTCACCATTCTCCCTCTCTCCTCCTCAACAGATTGAGTGTGAAGCAAGCATGCACGAGTGGAGAGGAGGTGGGAGGGGACGAGTGGGTGGGCATCAAACTAGAACAAGTCAATGGGATCACTGCAGCAGCTGACCTTCCCATTTCCGCCTCCCGATTCTCACCACCCCCCCACTAGGTTGAGCGTGAAGCAAGCATGCAAGGAGAGGGAGGGAGGGGAGGAGTGGGTGGAGATCAAACTAGAGGAGGTGAACCGGATCACAGCAGCCAATCGCCTTCAGGCACGTGGCAGATGATTTTCCTGTTGTCAGAAATTGAATGTGACAACTTGTGATACTTAGTCGTCTTGACTCTCTTGACTTTGGAGAATGCATAGGGTTCTTGACTCTCTTGACTTTTGAGAATGCATGGGTTCTTGACTCTCTTGACTTTTGAGAATGCATGGGGTCTTGACTCTCTTGACTTTGGAGAATTCATGGGGGTATTGACTCTCTTGACTTGTGATGATGTGGCACAAAGGGCATTGAGCCTCTTCTCATTCTTCCAACCCCCACTGTCCCTACAGTCCCTCCTATCTCCTCCCTCTCATCTCCTTCCCCGTTCGTCTCCCTCTTCCTTTTCTCATCCGTACTCCCATCTCTTCCATTGCAGGTCGCCTGGTTCCTAGAACACAGGGCATACTCCCTAAGCCACCACACAGCAGAGGTGCTCGCGAGTGAGGGCGCTGGCAGTGGGGGTGGTGGGAGCAGAGGCAGAAAATGAGGGCTGAAGCAGCCGTCCCGGTCTCCTCCCTCCTCCCTCCTCCCTCCTCCCTCCTCCCTCCTCCCTCCTCCCTCCTCCCTCCTCCCTCCTCCCTCCTCCCTCCTCCCTCTCCTCTCCTTTCCCATTCTTCTCTCTTTCCCTTCTCGTGCGTACTGCCACGTGTGCAGGTCGCCTGGTTCCCAGACCATCGGGCAAACTCTCTCACCCACCAGACAGCAGAGGTGCTCGTGAGGGCGCTCGCAGTGGGGGTGGTGGGAGCAGAAGCAGCAGAGGTTATCGGAGGGGTGAAGTTGCCGTCCCGCTCTCCTCCACTCCTCGCTTCTCGCTCCCTCTTCCCTCTCCTCTACTTTCCCATTCTTCTCCCTTTCCCGTCTCATGCAAACGGCCATGTGTATCTGTCCACCAGGTTTCCTGGTTCCCAGACCATCGGGCAAACTCTCTCACCCACCAGACAGCAGAGGTGCTCGTGAGGGCGCTGGCAGTGGGGGTGGTGGGAGCAAAGAGGCAGAGGCAGCAGATTCCAACGAAGCAGCAGAGGTCATCGGAGGGGTGAAGCTTCCGTCCCACGCTCCTCCACTCCTCCCTCCTCACTCTTCACTCCTCTCTCATTCGAACTGCCATCCCCTCCCCTACCCTCCAGGTCGCCTGGTTCCCAGACCATAGGGCATACGCTCTCAGTCACCAAACCGCAGAGATGCCGACCCCTTCTCTCTCACTGTCCCCCATCCCAACCCCCTTATTACAGGTCGCCTGGTTCCCAGACCATAGGGCGTACGCTCTCAGCCACCAAACCGCAGAGGACTTAGTGAGGGCGCTTGCAGTGGGGGTGGTGGGGGCAGAGACAGCAGATGCTGACGAAGCAGCAGAGGTCATCGGAGGGGTGAAGCTGCCGTCCCGCCGCCCGGCTCTCGTCAGCGAAACCTGCCTCTTTCTCTCCAAACCAGTTTCCGAAGCAGGTTCCGAAGCAGGTTCCGAGCCTCCATCTGAAGCAAGCTCAGAAGCGGATAGAAATTGGGGGAATCGGAGGGTGCGTGCGTTCCATGTGCTGGACTCAAAGGGCATGATCGACACTGTGGGAGTGTTTGTGGAGGAGAGGGAGGGCAGCGGGGAAGGAGCGGGTGAGGCTGGTCCAGATACATCGGCCCATGTTAGCGAGCTACTGGAGGTGAGTGGACTCGAGAGGGAGCGGTGGGGTGCGTGCGCTCCATGTGCTGAATTCAAAGGGGATAATCGACACGCTGGGAGTGTTTGTGGAGGAGAGGGAAGGCAGTGGGGAAGGAGCGGGTGAGGATGGTCCAGAGGCAAGAGCAGCCCATGCCAAAGAGCTTCTGGAGGTGAGACTAGGGAAAAGTATTGGGTGCGTGGGTTCCATGTGCTTGACTGAAAGGGGATGTTTGACACTCTGGGGGTGTTTGTGGAGGAGATTGAGGGGAACGGAGAGGGATCAAGTCAAGAAAGTCAAGATGGTCAAGGCACATGGGCCCATGCCAAAGAGCTGATGGAGGTGAGTCAATGAATGAAAGAGGAAGAGGTGGGGTGCGTTGGATCCCATGCGTTGGATCCCATGCGTTGGATCCCATGCGTTGGATCCCATGCGTTGGATCCCATGCGTTGGATCCCATGCGTTGGATCCCATGCGTTGGATCCCATGCGTTGGATCCCATGCGTTGGATCCCATGCGTTGGATCCCATGCGTTGGATCCCATGCGTTGGATCCCATGCGTTGGATCCCATGCGTTGGATCCCATGCGTTGGATCCCATGCGTTGGATCCCATGCGTTGGATCCCATGCGTTGGATCCCATGCGTTGGATCCCATGCGTTGGATCCCATGCGTTGGATCCCATGCGTTGGATCCCATGCGTTGGATCCCATGCGTTGGATCCCATGCGTTGGATCCCATGCGTTGGATCCCATGCGTTGGATCCCATGCGTTGGATCCCATGCGTTGGATCCCATGCGTTGGATCCCATGCGTTGGATCCCATGCGTTGGATCCCATGCGTTGGATCCCATGCGTTGGATCCAAAGGGGATGATCGACTCTCTGGGAGTATTTGTGGAGGAGAGGGAAAGAAGTGGAGAAGGAGCGGGTCAAGATAGTCAAGGTGATCAAGACTTGTCAGGCCATGCCAAAGAGTTACTGGAGGTGAGTCAATCGAGGACGTAGAGATAGTTTTGGCACTTCAATTCCTCTCCATCCCTCTCCATCCCTCCAGCGGCCTGATCCTCCCCTCCCGCCTCGCACCTCTGCTGGGCGAATGGAATGGCACCTCCACCACCCCACCAACCAGCCATCCACCATCCCTTGCTTCCTCCCTTTCCCCCCGTCTCTTTCGCCACTCCTCCCTCCCTCCTCATCCACTCCCTTCCCTCCATTGGCCAGGCACAGCCAGAACCCCCCAATGCCCCGGTTCCCCCCCCCCGCCTCGCACTGCTGCTGGGGGAATGGGATGGCATATCCACCACCCACCGATCGCCCATCTATGGGGAGACCGTGACCCACTCAACCTCCAACTTCTTCCTCACTCGCTTCGAGGATGGCAGCCTGGGCCTGGTGAGTCATTCCTTCCCTTATTGACTCCTTCCTCCCTCCTCCACCTCCACCACCCACCGGTCCGCCATCTATGGGGAGACGGTGACTCATTCAACCTCTAACTTGTTCCTCACCCACTTCGAGGATGGCAGCCTGGGCCTGGTGAGTGAGTCACTCCCTCCTGGTGCTGATGAATCACTGCTGGGGGAATGGGATGGCACCTCCACCACCCACCGATCGCCCATCTATGGGGAGACGGTCACTCACTCAACCTCCAACTTCTTCCTCACTCTCTTCAGTGACGGGAGCCTGGGCCTGGTTAGTCACCCCTCGCTGTTGCCCCTCGCTGCTGGGTAACCCTCCCCATCCTTTTCGGCATTGGTGGCTGGGCCTCTTATAGTTAGCCATTTATAAGGAGACCGTCACTCACTGCACGTCTATTGAGGCGACCCACTCAAAAGAGCACTCATCTCCACCACCAGGAGGAGACACGAGATGATGATTTCTGCTTCAGGGAACGAGGAGTTGTTGCCAACCACGCAAAGGCCGCACCTGAAGGCGCTGCTACATCCGCTCTTCCCCTTCTCTCACTCCCCCCTTCTTGAACTCTATCTTACACACGTTGTTACACCAGGAGGAAACGCGAGGTGGCCTCTGCTTCAGGATGCCGAGGAGTCATGGCCAACCACACAGAGGCCGAACCTGAAGTTTCTGCCACCATCGCATCCCTTTCCCTGTCGCTCCCTTCCCAACATTTTTTGTTACACACGTTAATCAGGAGGAGACGCGGGGCGGCCTCTGTTTCAGGAGGCGAGGAGCCGTTGCCAACCACTCAGCGGCCGCACCTGAAGGGACTGCCGATTCCGAAGCTGCAGCTTCAAATGATCAGCACGGGCAGGAGCAGCAGGTTGGAGGGGGAGGGCGTGTGGTGCTAGACGGAGGGCAGCAGATCACCCTCCTTCCCGGCGGTCTCGCTCTCTCTGCGCCCTGCTGTGTGCCCCGCGGGCGAGCTTTCTTCTTTGAAACCATCCTGGCGGAACCGGAGAAGGGAGAGGGAGAGGGGGCGGATAGGCAAGGAGTACTTGGAGGGGAAGGGTGGCGGCGGCGGCGAGTGGTTCGGACGTACGATCCGGACGGTTTGGTTGTGTCTAGCTCAGTGTTTGCTGAGAGGAAGATCGGGTAGTGGGTGAGACGGCACGATGACTCTTAAGTACTGTAAAAGAAATAAATTGGTCTACGGTATATCCAGTTCAGTGTTTGATGAGCAGAGGCTGGGGTGAGATGAGATGAAATGCCATGGTGGTGGTTTTTTAGTCGATTACCGTAAAACAAGTGGTACAATTCCAGCTCAGTGATGGAGATGGGATGAGATGAGGTAGTATACAATTCCCCTACTTGACAGTCTGTGTGTACACAAATATTGTGGAGGGCAATGCACATAGGCTCACTACTTCCCCCGTTCCTCCCCCACGTCCCTATTCTTCCCTCATCTTACCGTACACCCCTCCTGCCACTCTCCTACCGTAGTTACCGTATCTCTTCCTCTCAACCCAATGTTTGCCCACAGATTATTGCATTCCATGTGTTGCATGCATGCCAAAGGTAAAACGGTAGTGGATGCATGCTGTGCAGAGGCTGATGACAGAGTACACTCCAAAAATGTATTTATTTCATACCCATATACACAATGCTCCACACCACATCTGTTGTCTACATTCAGCCTGTTCTAGAGGCATCTCAGAACAGCCTGAATGTAGGCAACACTGTCCCCAGCCACAACCCAGCCTTCTATAAAACAAAACACAATCAGCCACAAACGCGGACAAGAGTCTACCAAAACTCCAGCTTCCCAGCGATCGTCCCGTTACCACGAAACTCGTTACCACGAAACTTGTTACCACGAAACTTGTTACCACGAAACCTGTACCACGGTGCAGCCTTGACGAGAGTCTACCAGAAGTTCAGCTTCCCAGCGATCGTCCCGTTACCCTGGAACACAATCCACATCTTGGGCGCGCGGCGACGGCCGTTTGTGTTCTGCAGACCGGCCATAAGCGCCGCGCCATCCATGGTACCGTACAGAGTGTAGGCCGTGCCCCAGCGAACCCAGGTGGGAGTCCAGGTGCCGGGCAGATCCGTAACAGTGGTTAGGGTTGCCAGCGCGTCGCAGGGAGTAGTGGTGCCGGCGGTTACAACAGACTGCGACGTGGGAGGCGAGGTGATTCCCGTAACAAGCAGCTGATAGGTGAGAGTCAACGAGCCGTTCCTGAAGGAAAGGGGAGTATAACGAGAGCAAGGAAAAGGGATTAAGAATACGGGGAGATCGGAATGTGGGAACCAGCAAAGAACCACCATGGAATGCAGGATTTACCGACGAAATGGGGAGAATTTGTTATGATGATAAGAAAAGGGAATGAGAGTGTGGGCGGGGGGGTGAAGGAGGGGGTGGTGGGGGGGTTAGAGGAGGGGAAGGGGGCGGGGAGAGCGGGGTGGTTGGGAGAGGGGGAGGAGGGAGGGACTCACTGGGACTGATAGTTCTTGAGCGCGGCAGATCCCCTGACGCCATAGACGCGAGGGGGGCAAGATTTCAATGAAGACTCGCCGGATGCTGCATCCGCGCAAACAACAGACACACGAGAACCAAGTTAAAACACTGAACAAACTCGTGTGGGAAACTTTCTTGAAATAAAATGTACATAATTCTATCCAGAGTGAACCCTCAGTCAACTTAATCTACATCAGAAGCGACAGCGAACCGGTGGGGAGGGGTGTAGGGACTCACCAATGAGGATGGGCCAGCGGAACCGCCCACCGCGCCCGCCGCGATCGTCGCGACCGTGGGCCTGGACAGAGCAGCCTGCATCACAGCACATCAACATCAACAAACGACGAGGAGGAGGAGAGCAAGGTCAGCGACTCGGCCTCTAAAATGAACGCTTCCGAGATTTGAAGTAAATTATTTGCGAGCAATTGTCGTTGGCGCGAAACCAGACGACGCCACGAAACCTAGGTTTACGCTATCGGCTTGTCGAGTGATGAGAGTGGTCTCTTACAAAGAGCGGCGAGGATGAGGCCGAGGAAGACGAGAGCTGCGGAGGATTTCATCGTGCGGCTGTGGTGCGACGACTTAGACGAACGATGACGGTGACTCTGAAATTCAGAACCGAATTTTTCGCGGATGAGGAACGAAAGTAATCGAAGGTGGATGCATCGATCAGTGAGCGAGCTGAATGATTGAGAGACATGCTCCATTCCTCTTTGTACTGCTCCATACTTCCTCGTCAGACACGCGACGCGAAGGTCCGAGAGCGAAGTTGGAGGTGGGAGGAGGAGGAAACGAGAGCGCGGACCGCGATTCGGAGAGGGTGGTTGGTCGGCCTCAAGTGGGGGGGCTTGTTTGGGGGAGGTAGGTGAGCTGGGAGAATCTTCCTGTTTTGTAAGCTACGGAGATAATGGCGGCTGGGTTGGGGAAAATCGAGGAATGGCTGGACGTGCAGCAGCAACGGCTTTGTGAGCTAACAAACAGGTTGGGAGCAGCAGGATCTTTCTGAACCTACCCCAACCCAGCCCAACTCACACAACATCCATATGTGAACATAGCCACGTGTAAAAGGCGAAAAGCGCTGTCCACTTGTTTGCCAGGCATTTCCGGGAGAGCCGCAAAATCGTGCTTGCGGTGTGTTTTACATGCGAGCTTTTACAAGGGTCGGTTTATTCAGCAACTCAGCCGCCATGCTTTCAGCGGGTATGGATCGAAAAGCTGGTCTACGGTATTCAAGCACACCCACATAGGTGACAGTCTGGCCACGTGACAAGGACGGTCCGAGATATACAGCACATGTCTGCGGCTTGGATCGGAGAAAGCAGGTTTAGTTGACGAACCTCTGTAAAGGTAGCTTCAGTAATATAAATTTCAGCCTGCCAAGGATGTCACATTTAAGTCTGATACTGAGTATCTCTTTATGTACTCGACACTGGGAGTACCATATGTATACAAGTTTCAAGAATAATCTTACACAGAACAGTCTCATGTCTTCACTATCTGATCAACTGTCTAAGCTTCCTCTGAGTCAACGGGCCATCTCATGTTGGAAAGGCCATGGACATACTTTTCTTTTATACATTCCATTACCCATGGTAATGCTTATAAGGGTTCGAAGACCACCATCTGTCCTCGATAATCGCAGTATCCAATTTCTAGGTTCACGTGAGGCACCAAACCTTGAGATTCCCTCTTTGGTGAATGACGGTTGTGTTTGAAACCAAAAAGCATCTTCACCACCATCTACCGCATATATTCGATCTGGAAACATCTACACCTCTCGATACCCCTTGCTGATCCCCAAGCTCAGATTCAGAGTCCCGTATTCATGCAACCATCTCCTCGAAGTTTGATTGTCAGAATCGTTAGTGATTCCGCCTGATTCCTCGCTCTCAAGCTTCGTTTGCTTGTTGGTCACTCGTGTTGCTCCTAGCGACGAGTCTTAAGCGATTGACGCTTAGCCGCCATGTGGTCTCGAGGCGGCGCGTCCGTGGCGCCAGTGGGAAAGCCGGCAGCGTACGGCGCGGGAGCACCTATGGCTGCTGCAGCGGTCCCGGAGAGTCTAAAAGTCGTCAACTGTCCGTCGCCAGATCTCGCGTTGACGAACTTCGCATTCCTTTCGCGAACGGACCTGCCGTGCTTCGCAGCGTTCCAAGGGAGCCCGCACGGATTCATCGAGATCGGGGGGAACATCCTCACCGTTGCATATCCTCTCATTCGCGTCCCTCCGTCGCAATCTCAGTAGTTTCGTCTCTTTCGCTAAAGTGTCTCTTCGTAGAGTCTGTCCCTCCGCGCTCTCTCGCGTATCCTCTGTATCCTTCCCTTCTTATCAGGCTCGACTCGATCTTGCGTACCTTCGTTCTTGCCGCCGTTCCGGTGTTTGGTGTCCTATCCGTGCCTTGACTCCGCCCTATGCTCAACCCTCGTCTCGGCTCCTTTGCTCCCCCAGCCTTGTTACCCCCAGCTCCCCTTTTTGCACTGCCCTCGTCTCCTCTCTCCTTGTTCTAGTTACCCTTAACTTCGACCCCCTCTCTATTGCGGTGGCGTGCCTTCGTCGCGCTTTTGTCTAATAATCGGTTACTGGCGGCGGATTTCGACCAATCACAGCGCACGAAGGCGTGGAGGTGGGGGCCGTGGCGCTCAACGCCGTGCAGCGCCGCAACGCGCGCGTCTCTGCGGGCGACCGGGTGCCGGTGGGGAGGTAAGTAGGGGCGGAGCGGGTGCATGTGGGGAGGTAGGGGAGATGGGGGGAGGTAATAGGTTTCCTGTGGGGAGGTAGGGGTAATATGATAAGGAAGACAGGGGGGGGGAAACAGGGTGCTTTTGGGGAGGTAGGGAGATAGGGATGGGATGGGAGATAAGTTACGTGTGGAAAGCAGCAGGGTGAAATTCAATGGACTCAATGCTTGCGAAGTCTCTACAAGCTTGGTGTTTTTCTCTTTCCGTGTTCACCCGCTCCTCTCCTCTCCCTCCCGATCCTCCCCTTTCTTCTCCTCTCCCTGCCTCTCTTCCCCCTCCCACACCCTCCCACACCTCACCCTGCCTCTCCTCTCCCTGCCTCTCTACTCCTCTCCCTGCCTCTCTACTCCTCTCCCTGCCTCTCTACTCCCTCCCACACCCTCCCACACCTCACCCTGCCTCTCCCCTCCCTGCCTCTCCTCTTTCCGCATCTCCTCTCTGGTCCCTGTGTCCCCTTCCTCACACGAGAATCGTCCCGCCTCCAATGAACTTCGAACTGCAGTCAGCACCATGTTCACCTCGTTATAATCTCTCCCGCGCTCACCTCTTGTGCACCTGTCCGTCTCCCTTTGCCCCTCGCCAGGATCGTTCCCCCGCCCATGAACTTCGAGCTCCAGTGACCACTTCTCTACTTAAGAAGTCACCTCGTTATCGTTTCGTCTGTCCTCACCTCGTGTGCTCCCGTCCGTCCCCTTTTTTTGCCCCTTGCCAGGTTCGTTCCCCCGCCAATGAACTTCGAGCTGCAGTCAACCACTTTGGAGATCGACTTTCACTCCAAGGGCCGGGCCAGAGCTGAGCAGGTGAGGGTTTTGAGATTACTCAAGAGGCGAGACGAGCAGGTGAGTGAGAGTACATGCTCAGAGGGTCTGTCCCCCCCCCAGCCCGTGAACTTTGAGCTACAG